TTACTGAGCTGTCTTACAACACTGGATCTCAAGCCCTCGTCCACGGATGTTCATCCTCCTGGGTACCCAGAAAACTCGTCCCCACCTCCCAGAAACGGGCTGGCGTTCTGCTGGGAAGCGACCTCTCCCACCTGGGTGACTCCTGCTGCTTCACCTCTGTCTCTGGCCGAGAGCTTCTGGAACACAATGCACGCCTGAGAAGAGCTCACCGCTGGAACTACCCTAGGGAATGAGCCCCGGAGCACAGAGGCGCTCCCCAGGGCAAGTTCCCTCACCGCTGCGGGCAGCCTCGGCCCCGCAACACTGCTGGATTACAGATCCTCGCCATCCTCATCGGCCCGCGACGTAGCTGTCGCATCATTCCTGACCCTCCCATTCCAACACTCCCGCCCACCGAACACCAGGTCGGTGAGGGGGTTAAAGCCAGATCTAAGAAAAGGAAATCCATGCAAAGAGAAGAAGGAGAAGCAAGGAAGAAAAGCCAAGGAGGTGGAGGGGAGGCACAAACATGAGGCAGGAGTGAAAAGGGCGACTTAGGCGGAGCCGGCACGGCGACACTGCAGCTCAACATAGTTGAGACCAGATGGTCCTTACTTCTTAGGGCCAGATACTGAAACCCAGAGAGCAAGAAGTGGTACCGTGAAAGAGAGGGTGCAGATAATACTAAATGTCCCCCTCCTTCCAAAGTGGAAGCAGCTGAGAACTAGGGGCTAATGAGTGAGGGGTCCCTGGAGACCCTCAGACACAGAGCGGGGACAGGAGCAGAGGGCAGATGACAAGATGAAAGCAGTAAGAGCCAGTCGGCAGCCAAGTCAATCAGAATCTACTTGTTACAGAATTCTTTAAGGGGAAAAAAAAACAGTGAAATATGAGACTCTGGTAAGCATGGTAGTCAAACATTTTATTTCATTTTATTTTTAAGTTGTAGAAGACAAGTGCATTTCTCCATAGGCTGAGGGGACCGAGCAAGGGGGCAAGGCGAAACTGAATATGCAAGAAAAAGAATTACCCATCAAGCAAATTCCCAAGGGAAATAGGAAAAGAAAGAAGCCAAACCAGAAGGAGAACACTTCAGTTTGGAGGGATTTGAGATTAAGATTAGAGGAGTTGTCTGATTTAAAAGAAAACAGTAACTTTAAAAGGGAAATAGCTATCGATTATGAAGACTGGGCTGCAAGTGGTGTTGACTACCATTTTTCCAAAGTATCTTCGTCCTTGAAAGAAGCTTCAAAAAAACAAGGTATGGTGCCGTCTCTTCTCTTTACTAAAATAAACAAGTTCTGTAGGAATAACTTTAATTTTCCTCTCTCCCACTCTGGAAAGTTCTCCAGCAGTCAAAGCTGGCATTGTAACATGAGGTACCTCTGAGCAGTCATTAACACTTGTTTAAATTCTTCTCAGTATTCCTTAGTAGACAGTTTCACGAGATAAAATTAACTACCTGAAGCTGCCACACTTTTAAACAGAGGCGGATTTTCCCAATGATTAGCAATCATTTTACTTTCTGCTACTGTATCATTACAGACTCTCTTGACAGTTTCCAGTTGTTAAAATACTGCCTTTTTTTCCCTCAGTCTTTTACTTCATACATCGCTACATCAGCTCTTCCTGTAGGCAGAGTAACAGTGCCCCAAAACAGGTCACCAAGCGCTGAGCCCCAATTATAGCTACTCAGGTAGAAATCAATCCTATAATTTCAGGCAAATGAATGTAAAAGACAAACATACTAATTTTTGCCTTGTCCTCAATCAACTAAGAAACTCTAAGCCACTTCTGCATCAAACCTCCCACAAAACTGGGTTTGACATAATGATGACTATTATTATGAGATGGACTTCAAATGCAACATTAGGGGACACTGGCTATGCTGACTGAAACAACACCTTATATTTCTACAGTTCCTTCCACTTCAGAATCTCAAAGATGCTTTACTTTTTCAAATCCTTGGCAAGCCATTAAACCAAGCATCAGGAAACAGTATTACCAGAAAAAGTAAATCACAGGAAGCTTGAGTCAGTTTCCCGCCCAATGTAATATCAATTTGTTTAATATCTGAGAATCGCATTTAGGATTCAGGACAGATGCTTGTGAATTCTAAATCAATTTCAAGTCAATTTGCCTGGGAAATAAAAAAAAATACCGAAGCACTCATTATGCAAATATGAAACAGAAATCTATAATTCTGTTTCAAAGTAAAGAAAGTGGAACATTATTTTTAAGAGAAAATTTCAAGTATCGTTAAGGACTGTCTAGGTGTGCTGGTGTCAGAAATGACACAAAATCTACAACTGGCTAATTATCTTATATGTTTTAAGGTTCTATAATATTTTCCTAGCATTACAACTTTTGAGAAAGTACCGAAATTAATTGCATTTACTAAACAATTGTTTTTAGGGAACCACACCAAATGGAATTACTACCCATGACTTGCCAGCTGAGACAGCTCCAAATGCTGATTTGCCAACTTCGGAGAAATAAATTTTTTAACATCAGATGGGGCTTTACACAATTTACATAGCTCGAGAACTAATATACATTTAATAATAAAATATTACTTGGTTAATATACCTAGCTAATATACATAATTACTTAGTTAACATGTAATATATTCAGTTAATGTAAGTAATAAAACTCAATTAATATATACAATATATAACAACATATTTATCAATTATTGCTATATATTATATAACTATTGAATAATAATATATAAATTAATAAAATGCAGTCAGTGAATTACTTAGTTAATATGCCATTTTTCTATAAAAACATCTGATTGTTATATTCATGTGTTATCTCCCCAACACCTCACTTGTCCAGCATGAGAAGATACCACTCCATTAGAATGGCTGAAAAATACACTGACATACTTTGCCAGCACACCTTCCCCATGTGGCCTTGAGTTTTACTTCAGGAATCCAAAGCCCTAATACTCCAGGGATGTCCCAGCTCTTAAACCCACTGCTGGTAAAAGCTCCTTTTACTGACGGAGTGGGAAGCTGCAGTGATCACTCCTGGGCAGAAGGTGGCAGCAGCTGAACTGTCTCAACTATCCTTCAAGAGCATCCTCTCTAGGCCACCCTCCAGCTCTGTGACCAGGTCCTCACTTAGGTCTTACTGCTTACTTTTTGATTATGAAACGAACCCTGCTTATAACAGTGCAATTGTCAAAACGTGGCTAAAGCGTCTGGCTATGCTCAAGTTTAAAAAGCACCATGAGTGCATGACCTGCTCATTGTTGTTTCATTAAATTATGGGCCCATCCATTCTTATTCCAGAAAAAAGAAAAAAGAGGGGGAAAAAAATTTTATCATCACTCTGTCAAGTTCCAGAAGAGCTCTCCTAGAATTTTTACAGGGATAGTCTCAGTATTATAGAACTTGATAGGGTCAATGGTTTCCCTACCTGGGGTCATGACACCATTTACCAAAAACTTACCCCTAGTAAAGTGACATATAATTTCCCCTCTTAGGTCCCCCACCTCTCTGTCAGGATTATCTCTAACACATATAACTTTATGAAATTAAATCAAGCAGTGACATAGGGCCAACAAATTATTTTTATTGTTTCCTTTGTGAGCAGGATCTCTTTTCCATTATTCTTTCTTTTTCTGCATTATGGAAATCTAGTGACTTCTGTATGTTTATTTTAAAATTGGCAATTGAAGTTATCTTATTAATTCCAATGAATTTTCTGTTGTCTCCTAAACCACTGTGAATATATTACATATTAAGGCCCAATCTCCATGGCAAATACTTTAAATTTATCTTATTTAATCCATATAAAACACTTTGGAAATTATATGGTCTGAGTTCTTTCTATCTATCTAGCTACCTATATTCACATATGTATACAGACAGATATATAGAATATATTTAGATATAGATATATACATATAGACTAACCCAAAAAACAAGGGAAAGAAACGCCTGTGAAAACTGTCAAGCATTACGTGTGTAGAGCTTGATAATGATCCGTCCTTCGTACCACCCACCTCCACGCCCTTAACAGTCATTTGCTCTGGGTCTCTTTTCTAGCAGACAGCCACTCACCACCTGCCAAATACTCATGTCAACACACCCAAAAGCAAGCTCATCATCCTTCTCCACAGCTGGGAAGTCACAGACCTCTCTCCTATGAATTCCTGTTAACACTGCATTTTATCACCTAAGGAGCGTTCAGTACATTCTGCTTCCTTTATCTCCCCTACAGGAAAACAGAATGCTTGAAAGCAGACGCTGATTACTTAAATATTTCTGGAGCTCACAACACACGCACGCTTTCACTGAACAAGGGCGGAACCTTCTCACAGGTGGTCCCGGATCCCGACCCCGCGGACGTGAGGGCTGTCATCCTGGGCTGTTGATGACATGCGTCCTTCCCACTCACTCCCTTGCCTTAAATACGCCCAAGCACAGTGAGCCTCCCTTCCCCTGCTGCCCTCACTGGGACACACCCTTGGAAACAGCAGGTGCGGAAGTGGGTCACTCGCGGAGGTACAGAGACGCCCCGCGGCGGGGCCGATGCCAGGAAGACCGGCATCTCGTGTGGGACGGGAGGGCGGCGAAGTCCACTGCCGCTGACTTAACATGAAGAACTGGGAGCAGTTTTCACCCAGACACAACGTAACACAGAGGCAACTACACTCACGCTGCCCATGACATCTGCCTCTCGAATACCAAAGGTGATCACGCCAGTGGTCAGCCGTCCCTAGGACAGCCGGGAGGTAAGGAAGTCACAGTGTGCAGGGCTTCACCTGCGTGGGGTCGGGCCCTCTTGAACACACTCGTCAGCTCCTTAAAGACCGGCAAGCAGGTTCTGCCAACACGCTGGATTCCTAGGAACTGTGACATATCGGGCCATTTATCTTGCTACCAAAGCCTCCAATGGGGTAAAGCAAGGTGTTCTATCTCGGTGGCCTTTCATCCCCAGTGCATTTCTCCCCTGGAAGCACACCCCCCCCCACCCCCCACAACCGTGCCCATCACCCGGCTGCTTACATCAAACTCATTCAGAGCCGCGGCCAGCTCCCCGATGCCCGTGTGGCCTTTGGCTTCGTCGGTGGGCGAGGTAGCTTGAGCAGCATTGGAGATGCCGGCGATGGCCTCCTGGACTTGTTTGAACACGTAATCTCTGTTGGCCCTGGTGGCGGCCACATCTGGGTGGCGGAGGAAGGCCTGGGAGGCAGTGTACAGCATGGTGGCGTTCTTCTTCAGAGCCCCGCGGGCGGCTGCCATCTCATCCCGACAGTGGGGGTCCTTCAGCTCCTGCGGGTGCAAAGCACAAACCTGTCACTTGCATGAAGCTGGCCATGGAAGTGTCTGCAGCAGAGCCTGAAGTCACAGGCCTACAGAACCACGTGAACTTCAGAAACCATCTCCTGCCCCTCGTGTTCGCTGAAGCTGCCACCACGTCCTGTGTGCTGCTCTTTCTGTGTGAAGGGTCTGAGCGTGCCTCTCCTTTGCCCTGATGGGGCCGGTCCTCTGAGAACCCACTCTCCGTCCAGATACGCCCCTTCTATCTGCTCCCACAGGACCTGCTTCCCTCTCATAACCCAGCAGGACCCTGCGGGACGTTCCAGCCTCAGACCCCTCCCCCATGTCCTCTGCTGCAGCTCCTCTCATACTATCTCATGCATATCTCCTGAGTTTTCCAGACGCTAAATACCCACCACCGAAGGGAAGGAATGAACTACTTGATGATGGAGAGCGCGTGGCCCCCAGACCTTCTGGCGCCTGGGGGTTGATGGTGTTGACCGCCCTGTTCCCTCCACATCAGCCAATCAGAGGTTGTGCACCAGCTGATCCCGTATCCTGCGACCCCGCTCTTCCCTTATCTGGCCTTAAAATATGCTTTGTGAAGACCCTTCAGGGAGTCGGGGGATTTCTTGGGCACGAGCCACCGTGACCTCCTTACTCGGCCCTGAAATAAACCCTTCTCTGCTCCGCACTCCGATGTTTCGGTTTGGCCTCGTGGTGCGTTGGGCACATGAACTTGCATTTGGTAACATTATCATTAACACGCTTCACGCTGTATTGTATTTACTTCTTTAAGTTTACGTCTCTCTCCTAAAAGGTACGTCTGATGAGAGCACAGAGCGCTCGCCACCTTGTTCAGGGACCGTTCAGTCAACCGCACAGTGTGTGGCCCACAGATGCCTTCAGTCAACACTGCTGCAGGGGTGTGAAAGCTGAGGCACCGGCGAGGCCAGCGGCTCGCGCGGGTCTGAGTCCGTCACCAGCAGACGGAAGACCCAAGCTCCCATCCTCTGATACGCGCTCGCCTCCACGTTCAATCACAATCACAGGCACAGAGAGTCAAACTCCCCGACCCTGCTCAGTGCATCGCTGCCACTCCATTATCATTTTCAGAACAGAGTTCATTTTTCTAAGAAAAAAAAACTACTTTTGAAGGCACATCAGTCACTGAGTTTAGGGAATAATAAATATATATACATATACGCATACAGATCAAGGATGATTCGCTTTCTTAGTTTTGGACGCCAAGATAATACCCCTGGGGAGTTTATTCTCAGCTTTAAAGAGTATTGTTAAGAAAACGCTCACGTCATTTCTGGACGTGTTAAAGGCAGGGCTGCTCTCTGGGCGCCACGTGGCACTGTCAGCTGAGTGTCTCCGGGAGAATCTTTCTCTAACCTCAAACTGTATCACTAACAGCTATGTGAACCACTGGGGTTCTATTCCTCCTTGCTCACTTGGTACATGAAAGATGCATGACCTGGAAAGAGTGAACTACATCTCTCTCTTGTGGGTCAAAATAATTCTGAGACAAGCACATTACAGTATGTGGTGTCCAGCATTGTCAAGGCAAGTTGACAGTAAGTCATGAACAACTGTCTGGCCCATCCATTCTCCTTTGCTTAAGCACTAACAGATCCACGCCAGCCAACACAATTTCTAAACTGGGGTGAATTATGTTTAGCCCTAAAGATCAGCACAGATAAGGAGGGACCCAACACGTGAGGGCATCCTCTACGCAGGTAGCAATCTAGGGGGGGCAGATACAAGTCTCCCCCAAGTCGTCATGAAGGGTCTTACCAACCTCCAGGACACCTGGTCCGGAAACTTCATATTCCATTCTGGGCTATCTATGCTAAAAAAACCCCAAAAAACCTAAATATGAAAGTGAGAAAAAGGGGGAGTGGGTAATTTTTTCCATAAAGATATTTGTAGAAACATTCTTAATCACATGAAAAAACCTGTAAACAGTGTAAGTGCTGATTTATGGAGAACTGGGTAAGGAAACCACTGAGGCTTCCATCTGATGGACTCTTTACGTGGATATTAAATAAGTTTCCATAAATGTGTTAACATGGACACTATTTATGAGATAAATAAAAGAGACAACGCACACACTTATATGCAGGGTATGATGGTGACTATGTTACAACAACTGAAAGGCAACACCCCGGAAGCACAGCACATGGTGTTGCTGCTGGGAGAATGTGGTTTTTTTCCTTCCTTTAATTCTTTCTTTCTAAATTTTCCTGAAAGAGTCTGAAGCAGCAATTAATTAAAACCAGGAATGAAATAAAAATAAATTACATTAACGAGTATTCTTATGTACGTTTCTCACATATTCACACGGATGTTAATGCCAGCTTCGTGCAGATAGCCCACGTTCTCCTCTCTAGCCCATGTCTCTCTTCGACGTGGGTATCCTACACGCATCTCAAAACGTATCTAAGTATGAAACCTAGGTTTCTAATAACCCTCTCCGGCCCCTCTCCAGCTTTTCCCAATCTTAGTAAACTCACCGCCATCCACCCCCTTGCTCAGACAGACCTCAGACGTGAACTGGCGGCTGTCGCTCCCTAAGCTCCCATATCCAATCCAACAGCAGGTCCCGAGTTTCTCTTTTCCACGTAAACGCAGGCTCCCTATGCTTTTCCACGTGTACGGTGGAGACCACCATCACCACCCCTCACCGAGACCCCCTCAGCCCCCTCCCAACTGCGACCACTACCTCCTCTTCCACTCAACTCCCTTCTTTGCGACTTATTTAGACTAATATTAAAATGTGAATCTGGGACTGTGATGCCAAACTATGAACTATTCAACTAACGCCCCTTCCCTTACAAAAAACCCAAACACTGTGAGCGTCTGGGCCCCTGTCTTTCTGCCCAGCCTCCCCCTTGGTTTACTGAGATCAGGTGTTTAAACACGCTGTGTGGCTTTCTGGCCTCAAACCTGTGCTTCAGAGTAACTCTGCTCCTAAGCAGATTACAGATGGGCTGCCACACGAGACTCCACTTGGACGAAGAATTCCGCTGATACAAAATACTTAAAATAATTATGTACGTGAAAATCATGTCCGTGTGCTTATCGATTTCCAAAACCTTCCCCACCTGTTGTCTTCTCGCAGCTACATAGTTCAGTTTCACCATCTCTTTTCCAAATTCCTTAAAGCGATTTGCAAGGTCTTGCTCATTTGTAGCATTTTTGACAGCTTCCAAGGCCTCCTCCACCTGAAATGATTAAAAAAAAACCAACATCTTTATAACTGGATAGTATTCAAATATCAGTAAACATGTTAGAAATGTTAGTCTGTAAAAAAAATTCACGCATTAACATTTAAATAAATAATGGAGAAAGGTAGCCCAATGAGCATTTCTAATCAGAATAAATATTTGTTCAAGGTTTACAAGATATTTTGTATATAAAAGATCATGACTGCTGGACTCATATACAATACGATATTGAATTTTGAATTATGATTTTGGTAAGTAAAGTGACTTTTGATTTCAAGTAGAAAAATATACTTAAGAAGAAATATGGAATTGAAAAACAAATTCTAGAGATCTTCAGAGGGGGAAGTGCTTTGCAAGCGAAAACTGGGGGTCCTAGGCTGCTAAACCTTTGAGAGATTTAAATCTGCAACCAGTCTTCTCGGCAGCATCTCTAAACCTGGGACCTATTGTAATTTTAAGGAGAGTGTACACCTTGTCATCCAATGGAGAGAGAACACACTAAGCCTCGAGAAGCAAGTGGATTGTAAGTTTTGTTGCCACGGAAGGTGGGTCTCAACCAGGGAGAACGGAATAACAATCAGCCAAAACAGCCAAGAACACGATTCTGAGCGAATAGGGCATAAGGCAGAACATGCTTGCAAAATCAAACATTCTTAGTTTTGAGGGGACCCTGATTCTCAACCAGAACAGGCTCCTGAGAGGGGCAGCAGAACAGGAGAGACGGCTCTGAGTGATGAGAGGTACAGAGGACGCAGGGACCCACTGCAGAATTCCAACTGGCTCTGCTAGCTGAGACCAAATCAAAGGACAGTGTATAGACAGCTTTTTTTTTAACTGACGTACAGTCAGTTACAATGTGTCAATTTCTGGTGTGCATCACGATGTCCCAGTCAGGCACATACATACATATATTCATTTTCATATTCTTCTTCATTAAACATTATTACAGGATATTGAATACAGCTCCCTGTGCTATGCAGAAGAAACTTTATAAAATCCATTTTTATGTATAGTAGCTAACATTTGCAAATCTCAGACTCCCAGATGTATCCCTTCCCACCGCCTTTCCCCGTAACCATAAGATTGTTTCCTGTGTCTGCAAGTCTGTTTCTGTTTTGCAGATGAGTTCATACTGTCCTTCCCCCTCACTTTTTTTTCAGATTCCACATGAGTGTTATGATATGGTATTTTCTTTGTCTTTCTGACTTACTTCACTTAGAATGATGATCTGTAGGTCCATCCATGTGTTGCTGCCAATGGCATTATTTTATTCTTTTTTATCACCGAGTAGTATTCCACTGTATAAATATACCACAGCTTCTTTATCCAGTCATCTGTGCATGGACATTTAGGTTGCTTCCATGTCTTGGCTATTGTAAATAGTGTTGCTATAAACACTGGGGTGCAGGTGTCTTTTTGAGTTAGGGTTCCCTCTGGATACATGCCCAGGAATGGGACTGCTGGGTCATATGGTAAGTCTATTTTTAGTTTCTGAGGAATCTTCATACTGTGCCCAAGTTCAAATGACCATTAAATGGCTAGAAAAGGTCACAGATTAACACAGTACTGAGATACAGAGATACACCTCTGTTGAAACTTGACACCACCACAAAGGTTAGCCTGATCCAATTTCCTCACCAAGTTTCACCGAGTGGAGGAATAGTGTATATAAACCAGTGACCATGGATATCATCAATGTTTTCCTCCACAGATAGGATAACACCGTTCTGTTGACTAAATAAGCTAACTCATCTCGTGAAGAGAGCCCTGCAGCCAGCAGGGAGGCCATTCAGAACGACGGTGCTGGGGGCTCAGTCCAGACACCAGATACAACTGTTCCCATTCTCATCTTCTCTGGAAATTCTGCATCTGTTTTTTTTCTTCTCAATGGTGAAAACATAAAATAAATCGACTCCTCAATTTTAGTCTTTCCAATTGCTATCCAGGCTGTAATCCTGCTCAAGGCAAAGACAGAAGCACAGATGAAAAAAGAACGGCTGTGTCAGGATGTTTTCAGGCACTCAGGCCACGTGACATTTTATGGTATAAAACGGCCCACTTAAAACATTACCATGGTTTAAGGAGAATCTCAAACCTCAAATCTTCAAAACAAATCAGGGATGTCTCACTTTCTAATAGATTTATAATCGTCTCACCGTGGCCACCAGCGCCACACCGAGAGGGCAGCGCTTGGCAGTTAATTTGTTCCCACTGCTGATTTGAGCTGTACGTCTTTTCTCACGACATAAAACTGGGTCCCAGGGAAGAGCAAAATAATTATCTCAGAGGGAGCTAAATCCTGGGTTTGTTTTATTATATACACATATGTATATAAAGTTATATATACTAATATTGTCAGTTGTTAATCAGAACAATTTGGAATATTTATTTCATTCTGTTACACATAACTTCCTTTCTCATTGGCTTTCTTGGAAGAATCCAGATGCTGGTCTGAATCTATGTTTCTGATTCAAAGAAGTTCTTTGGAACAGAAACACCAGTGAAAGTGTCTGTGTATCAAAAAGTAAAAACAGACCTACCATATGATCCAGCAGTCCCACTCATGAGCATATATCTGGAGGGAACACTAATTCAAAAAGATACATGCACCCCAATGTTCATAGCAGCATTATTTACAATAGCCAAGATATGGAAGCAACCAGAATGCCCATCGACAGATGACTGGATAAAGAAGCTGTGGTATATTTATACAGTGGAATACTACTCAGCCATAAAAAAGAATAAAATAATTGGCAGCAACATGGATGGATCTGGAGATTGTCATTCTGAGTGAAGCAAGCCAGAAAGAGAAAGAAAAACTCCATATGATACCACTCATATGTGGAACCTAAAAAAAGAAAAAAAGAGGACACAGATGAACTCATCTACAAAACAGAAACAGACTGGCAGACATACGTAAACAATTTTATAGTTACAGGGCAAAGGCGGTGGGAAGGGATAAATTTGGGAGTTCGAGATTTGCAAAGGCTAATCACTGTATATAAAAATAGTTAAAAAATCAAATTTCTTCTGTGTAGAACAGGGAAATTTACTCTGCATCTTGTAATAACCTTTAATGAAAAAGAATATGAAAACGAATATACGTATGTATCTGCATGACTGACACATCGTGCTGTACACCAGAAATTGACACATTATAACTGACTGTACCTGAATTAAAAAAGTAGTCTGAGAATTCATTTTTTCACTAAATACTTATTAAGCACCTACTAGGAGCCAGGCAGGCGTATGGGGATGGCAATGGTGTGGAGCAAGGGTCTGACCCCACCCCCCTGGACCGTGGGGCCTGGTTCTCCTGGACACACTCACTGCCCACACTGGTGCTATGAATCAACACTGTTAAGGTCACCTTTTCTGTTTGGACACACTGACCTTCTTCCAGGGTCCTCCCCTTGATACCCAGTTAAGTAGATTTTAAGTGACATTGATGAAATGATCTCATAGGTTGCCCGATAACTCTCTCGTCAGGATCTGGATTTACAGCGAATTAAAAATGCTGTCTTGCAAACAGGAGGTGGCTAAGTGAATGAATGAATGCGTATAAGATTCCACATTTAACTCCTTCACTTGTCTGGCCATGCGCTCTGGTGTGGCCCTGGGGCTCTCAGCATTACCACACCTTATCTGTCTGCCTCCTCAGGGTAAGCTGGCCTCCCTGAGTAAACCTTCTGCTTTTATGTTCACAAGCGAACACAATGTTCTCATCAAAAAGCAAGAAGGGCTGAAAGCTAATGCCGTTTATTCTTAAAGGGCCATGTTCTGCACAGCACAGCAACGACACGGCCCGCCAGAGCTGCAAAGGTATTTTCAGCTTGTGTAAGTAAACAGCCCTCGCCAGTAAGTACTTAGAACCCACTTTGCTCTCAGTGGCCTGCAGGTATCTAATCTGGTCCCGAAAAACACCTCTCTGAGGCCGACAGTTTTCTTGTTTCGCCTTCACAGAGGAGAGAGAGACGCGGAGGCCGGGGGCTTACACGCACGCCAGCCGGAGAGGTCTGACGGCGAGTGGGAGCCTGGACCTGAGCCCCGTGGTCTGTTCCAGAGATCAGGCGTTGATCCCGGGCTGTGAGCCGGGCTGGGATTACACTGACCAGCTGATCGTGAAGAAGCATGCGGAGCCCGGCCCCAGCCGGTCGGCGTCCAGGTTCTCACCATCCTACCCCTTCAACGTCTCTAGCGTCTGCCCCCTCCCACGGCACCGCCATGGCCTCCACTCGGCTTTCCTGTCTCGCACCGGCTGGATAATCTCCATGACCTCTCTGTGTTTTGTTTTGTTTTCAACTGAAGTGTAGTCAGTTGCAACGTTGTGTCAGTTTCTGGTGTACCGCACGACGTCTCGGTCGTACACGTACATACACAGATTCCTTCCCATATTCTTTCTCACTATGGGTCACGACAAGATACTGCAGACAATTCCCTGTGCTGCACAGTAGAAACCTGCTGTTCATCTATCTTATATACACTAGCTCATATTTGCAAACCTCATACTCCCCAATTTACGCCTTCCCACACTGTTTCCCCGCGGTAACCGTAAGTTTGTTGACTATGTCTGTGAGCCCGTTTCTGTTTTATAGGTAAGTCCGTTCATGTCTTTTCTTCGTGTTTTTTTTTGATTCCACATAAGCCAGAAAGAGAAAGAAAAATACCGTGTGGTATCACTCAGTTACCTCTTAATCTGCCCCCTTGCACGGGCTCAGCTTTCTCCTAACTCCTTCTCCACACTGCTACCAGGATTCTGCGCCTAATCCCGAATCTGGTTCTGATGCTCACAGCTCCTCAATGGCTCCCCGTAGGCGCTACCTGGAGTCTCAACAAACTGGTGGAGTTCAAACTGATTATTGCGATAACCAAGACACTCCGCCGTGCGACTCTGTCACTGCCTCTCACACCTGAGCCTCCGCGCTCCAACAACACAGAAGCTGTCCTATTACTGTGAACGTTCCAAGTCCGTCTTCCCCTTGTGCTAGGGAAGAACC